TAGTGGTTGGAAGGCATATTTGTGTTTGGTCTCTGATGGTTTATTTACACTTTTTGCAGGCCACGCCCACGGACTACAGCGCCATGATGAGCAACAAAGCCAAGAAGTCTATTGACTTCCTTCTGATGCAGGACACCGCCCCGACGATAGCCACGGACGTGTCACTGCAGTACCGCCTCGACATCGTCTTCTGCCAAACGGTCACCTACACATATTTTAATTATTGTATGTCTGAGCTGATGCGTTTATCCTGGAGTGACTCAGAGTGAAGGAGAAGGCCAAGAAGAAGTGTAAATATCATAGAAGCAAGGAGTTCAGAGCTCTACGACTTAGTGTCTTTATGGTATTTATGTGTGTAATGGAGACCAGGGGTTCCATTACCCTTACTTGTATTTTTATTAATTGACTGACTGATTGTATTTAAAAACCGAATGAAGAAAAACACACACTGGTTGATTGTGATTCTTTATTAGGCTTTTTGGGTTGTTATTTAAGTGACTCGTTAAAGGTGAAGAGACAGGGGGACTGGCCATCCTACCTGTGTCAGGAAAAGAACCTGTGTTAGAGCTGTTCACATTTAATCATTTGTCTGTAACCTAAATTAGTTGTATATGTAAAAGAGAAGTGTTAACAGTACTCACTTTGTAAAGAGTAAAAGCAGCTCAATCACCTGCTTATGAGCTCCTGGAGAAAACCAATGTGCCAGGCTAGGGGAGTGTGTGTTGGAGTGATTTTGTTAAAAGTTGTCATTATTGTGCTTGGACCTTGTCTTGAACTGTATGTTCAGATATTTTCTGTTCCTCCCCCACATGTAGGATGTTGGGGATGTTACTAGCTATAGTTTTCAACTGCAGGCACAATCTATGTAAGATTCTGGTTTCCTTATTTGGTAAGGAATGTTCACTTCCTGCCCTTTATGGGCTCACCATGTAAATGGTGGACTGTTAGAGAGGTTAAGCCATATACGAGGTTGAGGGGAGATGACCCTTTTATGACTAGAGATGCGGTTAAAACGTTTGTAAGCAGGAAGTCACGTATACAGACACACATACACTCTCTCTCACTCACACACACACACACACACACACACACACACCACACACACACACAACACACACACACACACACACAGTGCCTTAGCTTTTACCACACAACATATGGGGTTTACAATGGGCGGTTGTGTAACTGTTTTCATTCAATAAAAGGCTGGAGTTGGAGTTGTCTGAGTTTGGGTGTAGAGCTTGCAACTCTGAGAATCCGACCAGGCTTCCCCTGCACAAGTAAAAACCAATCGAACTCTGATTGTCTTACTTTGTTCTGAGTCAGCGAGGGCTGAAACCTAACTGTGGTTAAGGTGTTTTAATGCAGCGGTCCCCAACCGCCGGGCCACGGACCGTCGTTTGGTCGAGAGATGAGGCTCGGGTGTGAAATGTATGGTTTTCAGAGTTTTTATCGTTTTTTTTATCGTTATTTTGTTATCGTTTTTATCGTTAACTCTGTTTTCCTGGGTCTTTCACGTGTGTTATGAATAAATCTTCTTTTTTTCCGGTATCGGTACTAGTTTTATTTTGTTGTATTTATCTGTGACACCTTAAAGGCCGGTCCGTGAAAATATTGTCGGGCATAAACCGGTCCGTGGCGCAAAAAAGGTTGGGGACCGCTGTTTTAATGTATATAGAAGAGACTGAAGTTTATATGTTATGGAGTTATTTATAGGACTTGTTACAAATCTTCATATGTCTATGATGTGTTATATCAGCCCGTTCTCACTCCCGAGGCGTAACATGTCGACGTTTTGTCACGTCCCGCGGCGTTCCTGAGGAACGTGAAAGGAGACCTTCGGCGTTCTTATGGTACGCGGCGGGCTATGGCTGGAATCCAGTGCAATGACGCTCCCGCGGTAATAGACGTTCCAGCCCTGTATTCCAGCCCTAAACCTAACCTTATCCCTAGCCCTGACCATAACCTTATTCCTGACCTTATCCAGGACTTTAATGATGTTAAATAGCGTGTTTCTAAGCGATTTGAAGAAAAAGAGCAAACATGTGTAGATTCAGTCCAGACAGTTCTCATATTTCCTCTTTTTTCCGAGGTCGTCATTCAGGAACGTGGTGGGTAGCCGAAAACGTAATATGGTGACGATTTGTCACCTAGCGTAAAATGTTACGCTTTGGGAGTGAGAACGTGTTGGTTATATTGTAGTGGTTTTCTTATGGGGAGGGTTTTGTTTTCCTTTGGTTTGCTGACCCCCAGACTTGGTCTATTCCAGATGCTCACCTGAATCAGGTAGAGTATAACAGGAAGCCATTTGCTTTTCAGAAGGGTTGGATTCTTTGCTGTATCACCATGTGTTCTCATTAATAAAGTACATTTTACTCCAGTCTCGTGCTATTTTAGTGGAAGTGACCCATGACCGTCGGCCAAAACTGACAATATGACTATTAAAAGTCTGAGTAATACTGTAATTTTCTGCTGCTCATTCCTGTGCAATATCCCATCTGACCTCCCGTCATATTTCTTTTCAAGATTTTCTTATTTAATCACTAGTGTACATATATTTATAGATACATATATATATATATATTTAGTCATCTTTTCTCTTTTACCACGTCTTTCAAATATTTTGCTCTTTACTATTTTTCTATTTTTTATTTTATTTTATTATATTTTATTATATTTTCTTCTACTGTACCATGCTGCTGAGTGACTGCTGCTCGTCAAACACATTTCATTGCAATGTTGACCCTGTGCTAACTTGCATATGACAAATAAAACTGAAAACTGATAAAACTGAAAACAGTAAAGGCAAAGGGAACACATCAAGTAAGGATTTCACACTCCCACTCACAACGGCACTTTCAAAGCATAAAGCCAAATGCTTCAAAATTTCATTTTGAAGCATTTTAAAAATGAATGTGTTTGAGTTTCATTGCTCCAAAGCAATGTTTTCATATAAGCAAGATAACACCAGTTTGCAACCATGTAAGTACAGTCCTCTATTGTGAACAGACGTGTTGGCAATCTGTCTGCGTTTATAAATTAGACAACAGTTATTTGCAGATCTTCATCAATCTGCCTGAGAGTGATTGCAGTCAGTCTGAGTTGGACTGCAACTGTTTTGAGTCAGGTTGCCTCCAAGGAGGCAGTTTATTATTTTCCTTTCCTAGTTGGACAGATGGCTGTTGTTTTGTTTTTACTGTAGTGTGCTGGGCCATTAATGGCTCAGGGGCTGCAGCGTATCCGCGCCAACACCTAAGGCCAACGTGGAATCACCGGTCAGACTAACATAAAGAAAGAATCTGTTAAATTACACATTTGTATTCATTAAGTCACAGACAATGAAAACAAGCAGAAATCAAGATGTAATATTTTTATAATTTTATTGATGTTAAATTAAAGTCCAGCTTAGTTATGTTATCAGTGCAAGTCACTTCAATCTGTATAGCACCAAAGGAAACAATGGTGTTTTCAAGGTGCTTCACACTGTAAGGTAACAACTTACAGTATTAAAAGAAAACCCCAAAAGAACAAACCCCTCTGAGCAAGCACGAGGCGACAGTGGGAAGGAAAAACTCCCTTTTAAGAGGAAGAAACCTTCGACAGAACCAGGCTCAGGGCGGGGTGGCCATCTGCCGCGACCATTCCTGGGGATTTCAAAAATGACTTGATCTGATCTAAATGTAAAACTAGCTCATTTAAAGTGTCCAGTGAGTTTTAGAAAATATTTTGCTGTTGATATCACGATGTCACTATAAAGTGGAAACTTTGTTTCTTCCCTTACACCTCCCAAAAAATGCCCGCACCGATGAGAAGCACTTAGATATGCAACTTGGTTCTGTGAATATCTTTCTTTTGAAAGTTTTAACAATATCTTCATCAAGATCTTGGAAGTTTAATTGCCAGAATGTCACCAAAGATGCATGCTTCCATCTTTTACAGAGGGATTTGAAAACCCTCTCGCTGAGTTTCTTGAACTTCTCTGGTGGGATTTTGTCGTATCTGGCCCTGATTTCAGTCCAGATTTTCATGGTAAGCCGGTTGGAGATAGCTTCAGCACTTTCAATGCTGAAGACTGTGCTGATTTTTTTGAAACCTGGGAAATCAGTCCTTCCACAAAGATTTCCACTGAAAATCTGCATCTTTCTTTCTTTTCATATGATTCCAGTCTATCAGTAACTGTTACTGCCAACAGGTGTTCTTGGAATACTGAAGTAGTTATGATATTAAATATTGGTTGTTCCATTAAATTCATTGAATCCTCCTCCCCACTCCTCCCCATTTTCAATGATATTAGTGACAATTTATGTAATTTGTCACAAATATCAGTGAAAATCGCATTAGCAATGCAGTCAAAATAATTCTGCACTTTTCGGTCTAAATGCAAATCCATCCCCTTGAATTTGTCCAAGAGTAGATCCAACAAACGTTTTTGGTGAGAATGAGGGCACTTTAAAAGTTTACCAAGCTTTGAAAGCACAGCCTGAATTAATGTCTCTAACCATCTTTCAAAGTCTGTTTTTTCAGGTGGCTCACAGTCTACAGAAGATCTGTGATGCTGTATCTTTTTATATGACTCCGTTTGACTTACGTTTGTTAACGGTGGGATGCTGGCTTCATGTTCAACACAGGATTTCTGCTGCTGGGGATCTGGAATTGGATTGTTTTCTGCTTTTGCAGCACTGTGTTGGTCAGCATTTTGACAGCTTTCTTCTGTGTTAGCTGTTTCTTGGCTGTTAGCATCTATATTCTGTGCTGTATCAAACTCCTGCTCAGCAGAATCGTCCAAAAATTTCACACGTGACAAAACCGTTTTGCCAGTAGTGGTGTGGACAGAACAGTTTTCATGTACAGGGGATTCTGGGAAGACCTCAGTGGTGATACTGCTACTGACTGTGCACACAGGTCCATTACGTCCTCTACAAACCTACAAGCCGCTTAGCGGTGAAGCAATCCGGATAGCCTGAGATAAGCTCTCCCACTGCTTGATCGAAAACTACTGAACAAGTTATTCAAGAGGGATACCAAAGCATGTACTGTAGAATTATCCCCATTGGTCTGAACTGTTTCATCATTTGTCATTGTGTTACAGTTCGAGCTTGCCATTTCACTTTTTTGTTTTTTATGTCTAAAATGTTGTTTTGTGTTAAACTCCGTGTTTGAACGTTTAAAGCGCTGCTGTCCCGCTGTGTGAATGCGTTTCAACTGAACAGCCAGGTCTATATATAAGGTCGGTTTAAGGTTTCTTTGTAACGTCACCTGACGTTTCTTTGTAACGTCACCAGTCAAAGGACTGGCCCGCCCCGTCATAACGAAAGGGGCGGGACAAATCTGTTGCTTAGCAACTGAAAAAAAGGCACACCGCGCTGAATGCTACATCCGGCCTGCGACGGTACACCGCCTCCGCACCACCGTTTAAACATGAAGTGTGGATGTTAGAAGATCCCAAATATGGTGAGCTACTGGGAAATTACTCACGTTTTTGTTCTTGAGAGTGAGCGATAATAAGCGACATTTATTGAGAAATTACAGTAGTCTGTCTACAAAAACTACAAAAATGACCTAAATAAGACAGAAGTACACATTCATTTTTATCGTTTTGTCAACAACAGGGCGCATGAGGTTTGTTCAGTATTTGTTGTGTCTACAAGGCTCAGGCGCCCCCATGAAGTGTCTTATTTGTATAGTTGAAAGCATTATAAAGGAACGCAAAACTAAATTACATATAATTATAATTCTTGGCACTTTCTGGTGTGTGTGAGTTAGTGTTTCTCTTTTATGATTTGTGGGTCCAGCATCAAATTCAGAATCCTTCCCATCACACATGAGGTCTTGAATAATCATCTTATTTTAAAGACCTCGTAGTTTGATAGTTTGCTCTCAGACTGTGGGCTTCCTTGTGGTTTTTAGGATATTTAGAAGTAGAAGGGGATCATCCTTCTGTGGAACCAGCTCCCAGTTTGAATGCAGGAGACGGACACTATCTCTACTTTTAAGATTAAGTTTCAAAGTTACCTTTTTGCCAACGCATATAGCTAGGGCTGAATCAGGTGACCATGAATCCTCCCTTAGTTACCCTGGGACTACCCTGCTGGGGGATTCCCACCATGTGTTTATACACCTCTCTGCATTCAATAATTAGTTCTTGTTCATCTCTGGCTCTCGTCCACAGTGTGTCTTTTGTCCCCTTTTTCGTCTCCTCATCCCCAAAGGGTCGCAGCGGGCTGCCCCTCTCTGACCGTGGTTCTGCCAGAGGGTGCTTCCTGTTAAAAGTGAGTTGTTCCTTCCCACTGTATTAAGGTTTTTTCTTTTTAATTGTAGACTTTCTACCTTACAATCTATACCACCTCGAGGAGACTGTTGTTGTGATTCAGCTCTGCATAAATACAATTAAATCGAATTAAGTGGGTTCAGCTGTTTTGTGAAATAAATGTGAGTGACATGGTAAGTAATAGCCTGCATGTAACTCATGGTAAGAAGAGCAATATCGCCCCCTCCTGGTTCAACCTTTTTTTCTTTGCAGTAATCTTTCCAATAATAATACATATGCACTAACCTCATGCTTGCTGTTAACAATAGCCTAAAGACACAAAATCAAGTTTAGTTTTTTCCTTAAGTTTATGTTTTTTTTATATGGTTGGCATTTATTTGTTTCTTTTTAATAATTATATTGATTCTATTGATTGTTTGCCAAGCACTGAGGTCTCTGCTTAGACTGTGCTACTGGGATCACTGATTTAAAAATGAGGCAAAAGCACCAAAGTTGTGCTCAAAAATAGTACAGTGAGCTACAACCTGTTGCTGTAGTAATTCTAACACACTTATTGTTTTTAAATACATACATGTTTAGTTCTTTTAAACCTAATTATATATATTTTTTGCAAAAGTGTCACCTAAACACCCAAATATACGTAATTCAAAACTTACTTTAATTATTACCCATTTGGCTGGTAACATGGACCCAGTCTGATGGATAGTTACTGAACAGATAGTCTTTTCTTTAAAGGCTGCATTCAGAGCAAATCATTGTAAAAACAAGACAAGTAATAACTATAATACTAAACTACAATAGAGAGAAAATCCAGTAAATATAATTATATTATGTAAAAAATATACAAATATTTACCTCTAATTTAAAAAGACATTACAAGGGTACTAGTTTCATTTTAATCTCAACATAATCTAAATTGACACTAAATCAGTTTAAATATTACAGCTGAAGGTGATTTTAATAAATGTACTGCTGCTTGACTTTGTTTTACTACTGCAGTATAATTTATCATGTACAAAAGCTCCAAATGTTGTTTCTCTGACTTAATGTTCTGATGACGTTTGTGTTACTTTGCAGGAAATAGTCAGGACCCAGATGAACCTGTGCTGGAATTCAGTGTGGGTGAGTAATATGAGCATTTATGAAGGCTGTCCATGACCTGTAATTAAATTTAGCGTCATTAGTGCCACTCATTGCAAGTGACAGTGCACATGCTTTCAGCATGGAGTCTGCTCTTATGGTAGCAAAATAATTCAGAAAATCTCCATCAAAAAGCAGCTCAGCAGCAGAAATATATATGGTCAGCTGGTTGTGAGTTAATGAGCATGTGAAATCAGTGTGAACATTTTGAAACAACAACTCTCCAACCTCGTAATTGTAAGACTGCCTGTGCAGCCACAGGAGCCTTCAGAGAGTCTTCCTGCTTGTCTCTTGGGTTGATTTGCTCATGTTTTCTCACCCAGTCAATGACTGTAAAAGGGCTGGACTAATTGGAGGCAGGTGTAATTGATTGCACTGATATGCTAGTCTACTTATAGCCCACATTACAAACACTGCTGTGTTATTTTGTCTCTCAGTGCAGGTATGTAATGTGACAAAACCTCTAATGATCTGATATGTTTGGGATGGATGGGCTGTGAATTATATAGTGAATTGTCTTATTTTGTCGCTCTGTGCAGGCTTTCTACTTACAGGGTGGTGGGTCTCAGAGGACAATTGCTACCCCTGTTGAAGTGAACAACGTGTGGAGTGCAACTGGCTTTGTGGCATAGCTGGCTCTGGCCTTGGACTGTGTGTTTTTACTTTGTACCTAAATGGGACACTGGACTTTTAACTACTATTCATTGTGTTTATAAATAAAATTTTAGAATTTTATTGACTGTCATCTTTTTGCCCACGGTGGAGACGGTTGGTCAGACCTAGAATCTGTGTGCGTGTGTGTGTCTGTGTGTGTCATCAGCAGGGTTTTGCATAAAAGAGTGTGAGCAGGTCAAAAGGTCAATTCATTTATTGTAGTTTTATGGCAGCACCCTCTAGTGGCCTTGAAGCAAACAGTCTCCTAACTAAGCCATGGCATCTCTGGTCTTCCTACTTTGTGTGCTCTGCTGGAGGAGCAGCATTGGATCTAGTGATACTGAGTAAGCTGATTAGGACAGGCCTGGAGAAATGTGGTTTGCATGAAGTATCAGGAAAAAAACAACCTTGTATTGTAAAATAATAATACACGAATAATAAATACTTTTCATGACATTCAGATTTCTGGACTCACGAGTTCATAGAACATTAATGTTACGAAACATTGAGAAGTCTTAAAACTACATTGTATACTTATTATTTACTTTAATCAGATTTGACTGGTATTTTTAAACATTACGTTTTTGTTCCTTCAACTATTGTATTTAAGCTTATGACTCACTCACAGTATGTTTATATAACTGCCTAAAAAACGGTGAGGATGTGGCCGCAGTGGCTGAGAAGCAAGAACTTTGCTTTGTCTTTTTTTTTTTTTAATTGGGAAGCATAAATGAACATACCAGAAACCCCTGCACGAAGGAGCCATATTTGTTTTTTGTGTGTGCATAAGATGAAGCTTTAGTATTATTACACATATGATAAGGATGTTAGCATGCAACACACAAACTCAAGTGGTGTTGCCAAGATAGTTGCTGACTGGCAAGAAACTTCTAGAAGAAATCTGGTGACAGTCCAAAGCACAAATGAACATGTTTAATACTCGTGCAAGACCCTGTGGGAAGGTGCCAGATTGCTGTATTTTGTGTGAATCAGGAAAAGTGCACGGTGATGACTAAAGCTTATAAAACATCTCTCTCCTTATGTGTGCATATATGAGAAAGAAAATTCTGCCAAAGCAACTTTAGCTTCTTGCAAGCATCAGTACACAAAGGATGCTAACACAAAGCTAGCCAAGAACCAAGAGTGATTTTAAAGTTGAACGTATGCCGACCCCAGCAGCCAAAGGGAGCTCCGGGGAGAGCTTCTTGGGGTCCAGTGATGTGTCCTGAAGAGACGACATGAGCTCTCCCTCCTGTAGGCCCACCCCAGCAGTAGGTGCTGTCTGTCTCATTCCGAGTTAACTGCTACTCCTCTACATCTAAACGAGCCAGTTGAGGAGGTTCAGGCATCTGACAAGGGTGCCTCTTGAACGCCTCCTGGGTGAGATGTTCCAGGCATGTCCCACCAGGACAGACAGGACACACCCAGGACATGTTGGGGAGATCACAGCACTCAGCAGAGAATGCCTCAGTGTCCCCCAAATAATGGAGGAACTGGCTCGGGAGAGTAAGGTCTGGGTCTTCTCTGCTTATGCTACTGCCACCGAAACTGGACACCAGATAAGCTCAGAAAAATGAACAACCTGTTTAAATAAAGGTTAATTTAAAAAAAAATGTTTGTCATTAGCTAGTCTGTGTACATGTACTTCTTCTCCAGTGTTGAAAATGTTAAACTCACAACCTGCACATTTTCTGGTTGCATCATCAAATAAATACCCCCAAAAGTAGTCTGAGTACTTTTACACTGGTTTTATGCTGCGATATTTTCAAAGTCTTTCACTGAACACATTCAGTCACACATTGTTCATAATTTATTGGAAGTTTATTGTTTAATGTCCTGTCTAAATAACTTCAGTCACCATTTGTATTCATTAATGAATAACTGACTTCCAATATTAAAAGAAATAGAAACTGTTGTGCTGTTGTTCACGTAGAAGGGCCTGCTGCTGGATGTCCAGACTTTGTGCGTCAGCAGGAGGGTCAGGGTACAGGGTTCGAACCTCCTCATGAGATGTCGTATCTGCTGGATAAAAGCAAGCTACATCACATCTAGGATTGTCCTAGAGCTGCCCTACAGTAACAATCAACTGACTAATATATGAAATACTTGCAGTAGCACAATAATAAACACAAAGCAAAAAAGTGTTTAGTGAAGATAAAAAACCTCATCAAAGTTTTAGTTTGGATAAAGGGAGACAGAGCACCAATCTAAACAAGTCTAAACCATCTGGCACCTCCACACTTGTAAGAACAGCATGACCAAAGTGATTGTAGGAGGAAACAACCTTGACTTCCTTTACATAGCTTAGTACTGAGAATAAAAGAAAAGCATGATTAGAATTATTTGTGCTTCTTCTTCTTTCGGCTGCTCCCTTTAGAGGTCGCTACAGTGGATCATCCGCCTCCATCTCTCTATTTCTAGCATCCTCCTCAGTCACACCAACCCCCTGCATGTCCACCTTCACTACATCCACAAATCCTTTCTGTGGTTGTCTGAAAACATCATCCACGGAGACTCTTGCCTGATCTCATCTGTCAGCCTCTCCATCACCAGTGCAAACAAGAAGGGGCTCAGAGCCTCTCTCTGATGTAATCTCAACCCATCACATACTTCTCTGCCCCTCAGGACTTTCTTATGCAGCACCACAGTTACTCTCTTCGCACCTTATCATAGCCTTCACTCCTACCCTCTCTATGCCTCCCGTCTCCATCCTCTTCAGAGTTGCCTCACTTCCTTCTCTAATTCAATTTTCGTCCAAAGTACTCCTTCTCCCTTCTCAACACACTTTCTTCACATTAGCACATTTCCATCTCTATACTTGGTTACTCTCTTCCAGCACAATTTATGTGCCTTGCCATTCATTAAAAATCATTTTCTCCTTAGTGTCCAGCCTCACATACAACTCACTACAAGCCTTTTCCTGTGCCAGTGACACCGCTCTCTTTGCTGTGCACCTAGCCTTTTAGTACTCCTTCCTTCAGCTCCCTGACTATCCCACTCTTTCTTTGCCAGTCTCTTCCTTGAATACATTCCTGAATCTGTTATTATTTGTGCAATGAAAATTAAATCAAGAAAGATTTTGCTTTTACAGTCTCACTGCAGGTTGATACATTATAAGCACGCCTGTGGTTCACATAAGCATTAAAAGCTTGTATTACTCCCTGATGTTTTGCCTGTTAGCATGTGCAGCAGCTGGAGAAGGACTCCTAGCTGAAGACAGGACAGCTTCTCGATGTGCAGATTGGTCGTCTTCTACGAAGAAGCAAAGGAGAAAAACCCCAAATTAAACAGAACAACTACTTCTAATAACAAACAGACGTCTCTCTAAAACCGTGGCAGCAGTTCACCATGTCAAATGCTTTCTTGTCGTGCACAGTGACTATAACAATCAGCCCCACTGGCTGCACTGTCCTGCAGTGACATAAGTTAATTCAGCATTGCTATAAAACAATGAGGCTATTACGTTTGACCTGTACTTGCAGAATACATTCCAAAGCTTTTGTTCCTAAAGCATTCGTCCTTCTTTGTGAGCAGTTTGTGACAAAAGAAAAGCCCAGAAACAGGCACCAGTTCAAAGGCATTTCTCAGATGATTTGCTGTAAACTTGAATACAAGCACAGATGAATAAATGTCTTGTAAAACATTGTACTGAATACATTCTTCACTACGAATATCAAATTAAGATCACACGTTAACAGCCCAGAGTTAGTATCGTGTCCTTGCCTCACCACATCTGGGGGTTAACTGGGTTAAATTCAACATAGCAGCGTCTCTAAATGACTGATTCTAAGCCTGGCACAAAAGATAGAAATCCCTGTTGTTCTGGCATCTTATGCCTGCACACATTACCCTGCTGTTCAGTGGTGCCTGACTGCAATACCTGTTTACCAGATTGTAGTGGGTCTCGTGTGAATCTGTGCAACCCATCTGAACCTCCAGTTGTCACCGCTCTTTCCTCAGACACCAACGTAAGGCTGACAGCAAACTGAACACTTCCTGTTGATCATCTGAAGCACGACAGGGGACTGAAGGCAGGGCAGGGATCAGGAAAATAAAGGTTTATAATTTGCACAAATCTTACCCTGCTGGCTGGGAATTTCATTGGGTGGTGGGTGGTTTGGTGCTGACACTGAGCAATTCTGTGAATGCATTTTTATTTATTTATAGAGTTGTCATACAGGGCAAAATGTGAAAAAATTTGCAGTCTTTGCAATGAGTTACTCAGAGTTCTAGACGAGCGCTGGCTAAAAACAGAGGAGGGCCTAGATGGCGCAAGATTTGCCAGCTTTTTCTGCAAGGTTGGGATGGGCGGAGAGGGCTGCCTCTGCAGGACGACAACTAGATTCTTTCTTTGTCATTCTTTGACAACGACACAGCGAGCTGAAGCACTCCTGTCTTTTCAGGCTTACTGTACCTCATAATTCAACCGTGAGTTAAATCAAACCAGTCGTCGTCTGATTTTTGTTATGTTTAAAAACTATAGTGTCACCGTCTGCCTGAGAAATATTCTGCTACAAGTGGGCTTTGGTATTGTTTTTCTCTCCTTTTCTCTCCCTCTATCGCCTGGGCGGAGGCCATTGTGGGCTCCCGCCTTTGGCCTACATACCTGGGAGATGGTGAACACCTGCGTCTCATTAACCGGCCTCTACTTACGGGAAGAAGTTAGACTGCTCTTTGCTGTATTGTTGCTTGACTCATGTTAGTGAAGTCCTGGCTAGGACACTAGTAATCTAGTTCTCTTGGATTTTGAATCTTGTGCTAACACGTCGTTTCCCTGTGTACAGACACCCTGGACCTGCCCTTGTTCCTTACAGAAATTCTGGTACGAGAGAGGAGTGAGAGACTGGTGAGACGCCAAGAGAGACAGAAGGAGAGTGAGTGTGTTCCCCCTGCTTTTCCCTGCAGATTCCCTGGAGACCTGATCCCTGCACCCTTGTCTATAGCACTTTGACACTGTCGCACATTTAACTTGGTCTAACACAGGGCCATATAGGTTTTTCCCCTCTTAATAATAAACAACTTCATTTAGGAATTG